AGTATAATGCACTGAATCACTTTGCTGTACACCTGAAACTGACACAACATTGTAAATTAACTCTAGTCTAATATAAAATAAAAATTTGTTAAAAAGAGTATAATACTCTTAGCAATGAATTTAAAGATCGGGGTTAAATATGAGTAGATTTTCAATGTATATGTGGTGATTTATCAGGAATTAGGAAGTGATTCATTTAGAGTATAAATCTTTGTAAGGACCAGGCCATCAGCAGGGAGAAGACAGGAAGTTGGTAAGAAACGTATAAGAAGAGGGAAAGGCATTTAAAGTCCAATCATTCGTGTGTTATTTTTCAGCCTGTGTGATCAGAATGGACAGTCAGGGTTCTTGTCACAGACAGATTTCTGTACCAGTTTATCTGGAAAATTAGAAACTGTGAAATCAACGTTATTTTGCACACCATTTTCATGTTTCTGGATTGGTAAAACTGTTTGTTTCATACCCCTAAGTCTCTGCCCCATATATAACTTATGTCAGAATTAAAGCCATCGTCTGTGTTTCTGAGTTCCAGAAATCTTGATATTTGATTAATCCCTGTTCTGATCCATATGCTTTCCTTATGTAAACATAACTTAAGTGCATTTCTGTGGCTTCTCTAGTTGTTTGTGAAGCCAGATGGTGGTGGTTGTAAAAAATTAAAGTCACATATTTTCCTACCTATATTCATTCCTTTTGCAGTTGAAAAGGGCAGACAGAAGAGTCCCAGAAGTTTATGTATCCAGACCCAGACATCTCCAGATGTGCTCTCCTCAGAAAAAACACTTGAGTTGGCTCAGTATAAAACAAAATGTGAAAACCAAAGTGGATTTATCCTGCAGCTCAAGCAGCTTCTTTCCCGTGGTAATACCAAGTTTGAAGCATTAACAGTTGTGATTCAGCACCTCCTGTCTGAGGTAAGGATGTGTACCCTCTAAACAGCCTTCTCACTGAGGTCGGGGCAGGCGGGGGGATGGGCAATGCTCATGTTCCTGTCTTGTGAATATCTTTAAGTTAATGATTGGTAAGATCACATATAATTCACCCAGTTATGCTTTTGTCAACTCACTTGATACCTGAGTCACTCTCTAGAGATCTGGGGTTGAAATGTTTCTCAGTACTTCTCTTTCTCCTCTGGGGTCTGTTAGACCAACAACAGTGAAAACGTATTGCCTGTTAAACTTCTGTATACCTCTAGATTATATTAGCATTGCCAACTAAAAAAAAATTAATCAGTCGATCTAAGAAAGAAATGCAAAATTTTATTTGAGCCAAATTGAGGATTTTAACCTGGGAACAGCATCTCAGAAAGCTCTGAGAATTGCTCCACCCCTTAGAAGTCAAGGCACAGTTATGTATAAGTTTTTTGAGACAGAGGGCGACACATTATTGACAGTTTACACAATCCAGATCTGCAAGTACAAAGTGGTTGGTCATGTGACCCCTTACAAGATCTAGAGGGAATGTTATCTTTAAGGAGTTGGCTTGGTGCTGGGAGAGTGTTGCTCTTTATGGTTGAGTAGGTATTTCTCCTGATGGGGGAGGTCTGGTCGATGTATAGTGCAGATACACAATGCACAATAGAAGGGAGAGAGGATGCCGAAGGGCAGAGAAAATTTTTTTATGTTTAAATTTTTCTTGCCATAAAATATGAATTTTATTTCACAGCATTAACTTTCTTTTCACTTAATTTTTTATCTAACTATATGTAGTTTTCCATATCACACTGAACTTAATGCTTTGAAAAATGAGGTTGATTACATTTATGGGTCAAAGAACACTTTTTTTTTTTTCTTTGCGGTACGCGGGCCTCTCACTGTTGTGGCCTCTCCCGCTGCGGAGCACAGGCTCCGGACGCGCACGCTCAGCGGCCATGGCTCATGGGCCCAGCCGCTCTGCGGCATGTGGGATCTTCCTGGACCGGGGCACGAACCCGTGTCCCCTGCATCGGCAGGCAGACTCTCAACCACTGCGCCACCAGGGAAGCCCTAAGAGCACTTTTGAGGTAACTCCCAGTAGTGGTCTAGGGAGTCTTCAGAATTTCCACCCATTCCTAAAATAGTTTGTGGTACAACAAACATGGAACAGATTTTCTTTGCTTACTTACTCTTCCCTGATATTCTACAAGGATGTTAATTCAGGAATTAGTTAAAATTCATTGAGAAAACCAAGTTTCTATGAACGCATGCTACTGGCATGGCAACAAAAAGTATAATTATTTAAGGGGAAATACTGGGTTGAGAATGTAGCTTGAGCTCGCTAGATATTTTTAAATCACTGTTTTAAAGATGAGGATACCTGACATCTCAAGAAGAATACTGTTCAATCTGCTTGTTCTGTAGTTCAGTTCAATCCAACAAACCTATACTCATTTCTTAGAGAGGTTACTCTGATGTGGTTGCCGTCTGGGGCAAAGGGAGATGCAGGTGAATGAGACTTGGTCTGTGCCTTTGACGAGCTGCTAAGCTTGCAGACAGTTTAAATCAGTATTTGGTGAACATTTTACAGCTTTGTTCGAATGAACATTTTTGAGGGGGAGATGCAGACATTTACCTAGTTTTTAAATTACAGTAGCATACAGTATTTTTGTTTTTCTTTATTATATAAGAGAGGAATTTTGAGAGTTGGCTTATGTAACCAAGTAAGCTAAATTGAAACTACATAACGTCAAATGTACGGAACAATTAGTTTGTTTATTTAGTGATAAACCAATTATTTATTTTACTGTATCTAGCCTAACAACCCCACGTTCAATTCTTTCTCTCCTTTATCTCCCACATGAAAGCAATCAAGTGTGGTGAGTTCTCATCCCCCAGTGTTTCTCCCCTTCCTTCATCTCCTCTTTTCTATCTCTACTGATGCCAACCTTGTTCAAGCCCTGGATAACTCTCTCCTGGATTATTTTAATAACTTCTTAACCAGTCTTGAGGCTTGCACTCTCTCCTCTGTAATCCATCCCAATCACTGCATCCCAAAGCATTCCACTCTACTGATTACCTTCAGTGGTTCTCCATTGTCTACAGCCGATTTTCCCAGTATGGTAGCCACTAGCCTTATGAAGCTATTGAGCATTTGAAGTGTAGCTAGGCTGAACTGGGATGTGCGCTAAGTGTAGAATACACACAGATTTCGAAGACGGTATGAAAAAAGGATGTGAAGTATCTCATTAATAACTTTTCTATTGACTGTATGTTGAAATGATAATTTGGACATACTGGGTTAAATAAAATATATTGTCAAATTAATTTAATCTTTAAAAAATGTGGCTACTTGGAAATTAAAATTACATACATGGCTCACATTATATTTCTCTTGGATGACTCTGCTGTGTAACTTGGAATATAAGACTCTCTGTAATCTGGTACCAACTGTCCCTTTTAACCTTCCCCTCATTGCCGGTATGCTCCAGCTGTATAATCAGGAAGGTAAAGGAGAAGCAAGAGGGGTTTAACATTTGTTGAATATTTACTAAGTACCAGACATTCTTACTTAAAATCCTCTCCAAAACGCAAGTTGGAGTTTACAAATAAGAAAATTGAAGGCTTCCCTGGTGGCTCAGTGGTTGAGAGTCTGCCTGCCGATGTAGGGGACACGGGTTCATGCCCTGGTCCGGGAAGATCCCACATGCCGCGGAGCGGCTGGGCCCGTGAGCCATGGCCGCTGAGCCTGCGCGTCCGGAGCCTGT